GTAAAAGCAGTCAGCTTCCACTCATGGTGACAGCTGTTTCTCCCACACATTCACAGACAACACTGAGATGCAAGACCTCAGCACATGGTGCTTAATGAAATTATATTACATGACTACAAGGATAAATCTGTTTCTGCTCATTGTTTATTCTGAACTTCACTTTATAACATGGCTCATAACTGAAGGTCTGATTCCTCCATCTTAAAGTAGTTTTTAATGTGTTTTTAAAAAAATCATTTTTGATAATGTAGGCCATTTAATTTACCTGCAAAGACTTACTAATGGGCATACTAGAATAATGAGTTACAATTACAGTTTTTATATGAATGAAGAAAGAAATTATACTGTCAGTAATTATAAGTAGTGTTTGATTTCCATGCATTTTAGCAGAATAATGAGCAACATTGTTGAGAAGAGCCAGAGAATTTTCTCCCTCAGATTCATTTTCATGACAAAAAGAAACAAAGAAGAAAAGAATGGCTATAAAAAAGAAAAGCAAAGAAGCAGACAATAACATAAATGTACAAATAAAGAGAAATATAAATAAAAGTACTGTTTATTATTATGTTAATTATTTTGCAATCAGTTTTGTTTTTTTATTTAAATAAAAAACAAATTCTTCTATTGGAGTCTTTCTTCATTCACAAACGTTTGGTTTTTGTAGTTTTCTTATAGTGCTTTTGAAAGTTGAAGTTGAACAATATTTATTTAAAAAAATTAATTTTGCTCTATTGTTCTCTCTCTCTCTCTCTCTCATTAGACAGGCAAAGGCCTTCATCATATTTTTATATATAAAACATATATGTTGTATTATAAAAGGATAGTGGAATAGTCAAACATCCATCAGCACACAAAGAAAATGAATATTAAATAAAGCTGTGAAAACATTAAATGACTCAATAACAAAAATGTACACACATAAGGTCGTTTGTATCTAAAAATACAGCATATTTACAGTGTAAGATGGGGAAAATTAGACACTAATTAAAGTTACTTACAGTATTATGAATGTCTCATTTCTGTAAAACACCTCAAAGTTACCCACTACTTCATTTCTTTAAAAATATT